CATTTTAATGATCTGTGTGTGATGATGTGATTGCTGTCTTACTCCCAGAGAACTATAAACTTGAGGAGAGTAGGCAATGTACATGTTTTGTTTGCTAGTCTATTCCCAGTGCCAACTACAGTGCCTGACAGAGTATGTGTTCAATCAATTTTCTTGAAAGGAATAAAAAGGAGGGAGGTAGGGAGGAAGGAAGAAAAGGAGGAAGGAAAAAGGAAGGAAAGAGGTTGGGAGCAGGCAGGGAGAGAGAAAAGAAGGAACAGAGATCCCATTGGGGCTAATTGGGAAGACATTTGATTCTCCATCTCTAGGGAGAAAGCTGGAAGGGTTCACTGTAGCTCTCACCTGAGGCCTCAGTGTTTTTTTTTTGTTGTTGTTGTTTTGTTTTATTTTTTTATTTTTTTATTTTTTTTAAGATTTTATTTATTTATTTGAGAGAGAGAGAATGAGAGATAGAGAGCACAAGAGGGAAGAGGGTCAGAGGGAGAAGCAGACTCCCCACTGAGCAGGGAGCCCGATGTGGGACTTGATCCTGGGACTCCAGGATCATGACCTGAGCCGAAGGCAGTCGCTTAACCAACTGAGCCACCCAGGTGCCCATTGTTGTTTTGTTTTAAAGATTTTTTTAAATTTATTTATTTGACAGAGAGAGACAGCAAGAGAGAGAACACAAGTAGGGGGAGTGGGAGAGGGAGAAGCAGTCTTCCGGATGAGCAGGGAGCCCGATGTGGGGCTCGATCCCAGGACCCTGGGATCATGACCTGAGCCGAAGGCAGACACTTAACGACTGAGCCACCCCGGCGCCCCAGCCTCAATGTTTAAAGGCATAAGTTAACATCAGAATTTTGTTTGTGGGATAATGCTGAGTTCAAACCACAGAAACGGCTCCAAATGGATCATCAGGGCTAAGGGGGTCTGCGGTGACCTGAGTTTTAGATATAGAGCAAAATGAGAAGGGGAAAAGCAGGGAAGATAAAGGCAAATAAGAAATAATCTATACAAAGTCAAGCAAGTGTAGGACAGGGCCACCAGCTGGACTTCTTGTACCTAGCAGCTATTTATGAATGGGCAAAGCAGGTCTGATAAAAGGGACACAGACCACGCACAGTTGTCATATACAGACATATGTTGCTCCAACAACTTAATAAGTTGGTGTCCTTGTGTATAAACCATTTTTCTGTGAGTATGGTTAACTCTAGGTTCACTAAAATGAGACTGACTCAAGCTATAGTTTGTGCATTTCAAAGCTTAGGACTTTGCCATGGTGCCTGCCTGCATGGTGCCCTGCCAGAGGGAAACTCTGCCTAAGTGGTCCACTGCTCCCTCCCTTCCCTACCTCTCTATGGCACCCTTCTTGGAAATTCAACATTTTGAACCAGTTATCAAGCTCTTCGCTTACACGCTGTCTCATGTTATCACCCTTCTTGATCACAGGCTCCTGGGAGAAAGAGAAAGTGTCTAGCTCATTCTCTCATCTATTGAGCCCAGTGCAATGACTTTGAATAGTAACGGTTTGAAAAAATTATTGAGGGGCACCTGGGTGGCTCAGTCAGTTAAGCGTCTGCCTTCGGCTCTAGCCATGATCCCAGGATTCCACTTGGGGCTCCCTGCTCAGGGGGGAGTCTGCTCCTCCCTCCCCCTCTGTCCCTCCCTCTTGCTTGTGCTCGCTCTTTTTCAAACAAAAATAAAATCTTTAAAAAAAGAAAAAATTGAATAAATACTGCTATATATTTCATAGGTGCTGAGACTGATTACTCCAATGAACTTGTTAACGTCTTGAGGAAGACCACTTTAAACTTGAAGTTCTTCCTCAAACATAAGGATTTGGACTCAATAAGTCATTTTCTGTAAACTATTAGAAGAATGACAAGGTTATGTCTTTATACATAATTTTTACAATATCTCTATTAGTTCCAGCATATTATTGGGCACATGGTGGGAACTCAGTAAATGTTTGCAGTGAACTGACTCCAATATAGATGTATTTCAGTTGAGAGGAAACATAGAGATGTTTCTGACATTCCATATAAATTGTTTATGAGTTAAATGCTACTTAAATATATATAAATTTGCTATTAAATGGATCCCTAAGATGAATATTTTTATAATATTTAGCATCACTTTGTAATATAATAACTCCTTTATGTAACCCATTTTTTGAGTTTCATATTTTTACATATCCAGGTTGCTGATAATAGGATAAATTAGGGTGCCTGGGTGGCTCAGTTGGTTAAGCGACTGCCTTTGGCTCAGGTCATGATCCCAGAGTCCCAGGATCCAGTCCTGCATCAGGCTCCCTGCTCAGCGCGGTGTCTGCTTCTCCCTCTGACCCTACCCCCTCTTGTGCTCTCTCTCTCTCACTCTCTCTCTCAAATAAATAAAATTAAAAAAAAGACACCTCAGCATTTTAAAAAGATAGGATAAACTAGATTAGTGCCTTATAGGCATGAGGAAGCCAACCGACTTGCTATTGATTAAATCAAGCTGTTCTTCATAGACAGCACTGTCCCTCTTTCTACAGTTTCCCAGATGATCTACTTTCTCTCAACGTCTCCCCCACCACACACACACACATTTTCTCCCTGTGTCTTAATTCAAATTTCGTAGTTGTATCCTACTTTATAATGTATGCATAAACTTCATTTCCCAATACTCCTTTCCACCTGTCCCCACCCCCTTGTTTAACCACATGCCTCACCATTTTTCAAAATAGGTATGCCTTCCATGGTGCCTGAATCATCCATAGCAGGTAGAGACTTCAGGTTGTCTGTCTCAGGTGGTGGCTTTTGTATGAGCATGCTGGAAGTTGAAGCTTCCCCAGCTGAGAAGCAATATCTCTAGGTTACCTTCAAGGTGGGATTCAGGGAAAGGAGTGCTACTTATTTTCTTTCATTTCTTCTGTAACTCTTAGCTGTCCAGGGCCTTTTCCCCCATAATCCAGTGAAAAATTAGAGAAGTCATGACTTTTCTCAACAACTATCTTACCCTAAAAAAAGGGTTCTATTCCTCTGACATAAATGAGAGAAAAATAGAACATGTAACTAGCTACTTCGAGACTGTGGTAGAATAGAAAGTCATTTCTCTCTGGGACTCTATCTTATAGGTTTTAGTGTCAATTACAGTCGTAACAAGGACTTGGACAGATGAGCCCAGAAAGGGAATCACAAAGCACAGAGAAATCAACTACCAGCTCATGTGCTATAAATCTTGTTCTTCCTCAACTCCCAGTTCCATCCTTCCTATCTGCCTGGGCCTATTCCCACACATGAGACCAAAATCTCACCTGACACTTGTACGAGGAAGAGACATGACTCAGAGACAAATATTTTACTATATTGGGGATGGAATAAAGTCAGTTAGCCCCTAACACCTACATTTAGACTAGTAAGTTTCACATCCCATACTGAAACTCCCTGCAAGAGAACCCACCCGTTACTGGAGTAGGATCAGGAGACAATGGTACCTGTGCGCTGGGGAGGCCTGACTACCCCGCGAGACTGAATCACGCACATGAAAAATTTCAGATGAAATTCCTCTTTACGCATGGCTGTCTCCTAGAAATAGAGATGGAGTTTAATCCATTTGAACAGATCTGTGGAATGATTAGGTTGGACAAAACAGACATGGATCAGGTGTGCCCAATACTAAAGGCCTTAGGACATGACAATATAAAATATCAGTATATGAAGGGATACAAATAATCTACTTTTATGTATTTGACAGGACAAGATCTCCTGAATTCAGTAAGTATTCTCCTTGTTACCTCAGAGTCAGTAAAAGGCTGGGGCCTCCAGAGGCTCCCCTTCTTTAAGTCTGAGCTCAGACTTCTGAGGCCTCGAGGGCCTACTCAGAAGCATTTCTCTAAGACTTCTAGAGAGGGCCTGGGTCCAGAGGCCAAGTTGAAGGACTTGGCAAAAAGTGTGAATGGACAAACGTATTTCATCTCATTATTTTCTTTTTAAAAGTAGGGCACAATTTACACGTTAATCCATTCAATCACAGGAACACCACCGGGGCCATTTAGTTCTTCAGAGGGCCGACACCTGGGTCCTTTTCTATTTTTACTCAGAAAAGTACATCTCTGGTGGAGCCCCAATAGCTTTCCTCACACCTCTGCCCACGTTTCAAACTCCTCCAGAGTTCTGGAAGGTTCTACATGTTTCCGGAATCTAACCTAAGCTCATCCTAAAATGCTTTTTTTTTTTCCCCAAATGGCCAATCAAGCATGATGTGATGGAAAGAATACAGGACTGAAAATTAAGAAACTTGTTTCCTAGTCCCAGATCTGCCATGCACTTTATAACTTTGGGAAATGACTTCACTTCCCTGAAACTGTTAGGACTAAAATCTTTCCCACAACCACTACAAGCACCAATGTTCCGTGATTCTCAATAATACACGAAACAGAGCTCGATCTGTCAAGGTGGCCACAAGTTCCCGCCAGTCGAGGGAGGGCCACAGCGAAAAGCTGCCATGGAAACCAGAGCGAAAGCAAAAATCGCCGAGCGGAACCAGAAGACGGCGTGCAAGGGGATCGAGGGAACAGAAAAAAGCGAAGGACGACCGGTACACTAACAGTAATCCGAGAACGGGAACGAGAAAAACCCCAAACTGAAAGGGGAACAGGGAAATGAGGACTTCAGCCTTAGATGGTCCCCGGGCTTCTCAGGCCTGGCCACACTGCGCAGGCGTTCCCCGGGTCTTCAACTCTGCTCTTTGACCTCCCGCTCCACCCCACCCCGCCTCCGCAGCCACCGGGCGGCTCTTCCGGTGTTGTGGAGGCTGTTCCGGTTCGCGGCGGTTCCCGGGTTTTGCGTTCCGCGCCCGGCCGGAAACCCCTTCGCATAGCAGCCGGTTCCGGTTCGGTGAGTGGCGGCGGGAAGCTGGGGGAGGGGTGAGGATGGAGGGAGCCTGGGCCGGGAGGCAGTGCCGGTCCCGGCCCAGCAGCCTGGGCTGGGCTGGGCGGAAGCGGGGAGGGCTGTGGGGACGGCGCTTTTGCCTCTGCCCCGCCCCCTGGGACCACCTCCCCTCCCCCCTGCTCTCCACCGGCCGCGATCTGGCCGGCGGCCGTTAGTTAGGCTTCCCGAGGCCGGTCCTTCAGGCCCCTTTCTCTTGGGCCGGGGAGAGGCCGTCTCCCTGCCATTACCACGGGCCCCGTCTCAGCGCCCAGCCCTACTTGTGGGGAAAAGGCCGGTTGGGATTTCGGGGCTTTCCCGCCCGGGCAGGGTCTTCTCTCAAGGGAAAGCTGTTTTCACCGGGAAGCTCAGCTTTCTGTTACACCTGCTTCACCTCCCGCCTTCCTTGAGACCTGAATGGTATTTCTCGACTACTTCTGCGTCTCACGTAAACATTTCTCCAACTCTTTTACTCTGTGGTATCTCCCTGAGCTGTGAAAACGCTAGTGCCACCACCAGAGAGAAACGGCTGGACCCTTCTGCCCAGGTTATGAAAATCCCCTTAAACTGCCACGGTTTGCTTACCTGGCTCATCGCCTCCTGGTCATTCCCTTGAACCGTCTCTTTCTTGGTTGCTCCCTAACGTGGTCTCTCTCTGGATATACGCCCGGCTTCTCTTGAGCTTGGTGATTTCTGTTTATCGGTGCCTCTGCAGTGTGTTCACTATCTTGTTGGCAATAACTTACTCCTTTATCACTTTCAAGTCAGCCTTATTAAGGTCATTTCACTTCACCTTTGGTACACTTACTTGGGGTGGTGGTGATGCTTGTGAAGTTTATATAAAGCCTTACCTAGGCTACCACCTATTTTACTTAGGGTCTTTGTTCTAATTGGATATTCTGAATGGAGTAGATCACATCATCTCCTGAATCTTTATCCTTTGTAGAGATAATTTGTGTTAAGCACTCGTGTTGAAAGATAGATTACACCGAATTAGAAATTAGAGTTGCAGTGAAGCCTTAAGCATCTCGTAAGCATGATCCCTCAACCTTCTTCCAATTTAGAGATCCCGTTTTCCCTTTAGTCCCAATTTTGGAAGGCTCATTTCGTTTTTATTTTGAGAAGTCTCTTTCATTTTTGCCCGATTCCAATTAATTATCCCGATTGCAAACCTGGTCTTCATGTCACCCGTCTGATGAGTTAAATCTGGAGCGAGCAAATGGATTAAAAAACAGGTTCTGCCACTTCAGGCTAAGGTGATGTAACTCTTGACTATGCTTTGAAAGTCTTTCCCTTTTCTTTACCTGACTCCCACGCCGCCTGCCAATGCACCAGCTTTATTTCTTGCTATAGGTATCTGTTGATGGATCTGGTTTCCCCCAGTAGACAGTGTTTCAGCAGCAGGGACCAGTTGTTACTCATCTTTGTATCCCTAGTACCTCGTATGTAATTGGTGCACAGTAAATGTGTACTAAAGAAGTTGAATGCTTACTGTTTTAAGGTGTTGAGAGTGTTAAGGTGTTAAGAGTCTAATTGGGAGAGATTACATGTAAAAGTATGAGAAACAAAAACAAATAGATGATGATATACTACAAACTGTATCATATATATGATATATATATATGTTTGAATTCAGAGTAGGAGAATTCACACGATCACTTCCACACCCTTCTCATATCAAAAATTATTCTAACATTTGGTCCTGGATAAAGCTAATTGCCTCTCCTTGGTATATACTTACTAGTAACTTCATGGTAACTGTAAACATTCTCTTTTATAACCACCTCTTTGCATGTAAGCTTATACATGTTTTGTTCTACTTGTTACATTCTGTTACTGTCAAGACTTTGCCATCTTTTTTTTTCTTTCAGATCTGTTACTTTTGTGTTCAGCTATTAACTTGACTTCACCTGAATACCTGTAACACCTTATATTCTTTTAGTAAATTGATGACCAGTGTGAACTAGGAAATGTTATTGGAATACTTCTCTTTCTTTTTTTAATAAAGATTTTTATTTATTTGAGAGAGAGAGAATGAGAGAGAGAGAGTGCTTGAGAGGGGGGAGGGTGAGAGGGAGAAGCAGACACCCTGCTGAGCAGGGAGCCCTGTTAGGGGATTCAGTCCCTGGACTCCAGGATCATGACCTGAGCTGAAGGCAGTTGCTTACCAACTGAGCCACCCAGGTGTCCCTAGAATACTTTTCTTTTCTTTCTTTCTTTCTTTCTTTTTTTTTCTTTAAGATTTTATTTACTCATGAGAGACAGAGAGAGAGAGAGAGAGAGAGAGAGAGGGGCAGAGGGAGAAGCAGGCTCCCAAGGAGCAGGGAGCCCGATGCGGGCCTCGATCCCAGGACCCTGGGATCATGACCTGAGCCGAAGGCAGATGCTTCACCATCTGAGCCACCCAGGCGCCCTAGAATACTTTTCTTAAAAGGAAAATTTCTTAGGCTTGCAAGAATTTGGTGGTATCAGAGTTTCCAGATCCAGCATTTCATGTTGAATCTTGGAGTAAAATATCTCTACTTCTAATGTAAATGCAAATGGCAAAAAGAAAGTAACATAAGCACCTGAAAAAGCTGAATGTATTTGTATTAAAATGTAAATGTGGGGCTTTAATTATTAAAATTATGAAACTGTGGATCCCCCAGGACCATCCCCAACAGATGAATTTTATCTTGCCAAAGTGTATGAATCTTTGAATGAAGATATGTTAAAGGATACCATGTTTTGTGGTGTTTGTTGAAAGCACATTTGCTTGGGAGTTAAGGATACCCCGGATTTTTACCTTCCCTTTGCCCCATCTGTGTGATTTCAGGCAAGTCACTTAACCTCTCTGAACATAGTCTCTAAAATTCTTTGATTTCTTGATTCCCTCTTTACATATATCTTAGCAATGCAAAGGAAGCAACATGGGATTGTTCTACTGGGCACCAAGCTTTTAAATTGGCATTCTCCTTAAATCAACAAAAAAGGCTAGTGATGACATTTAATGAAATAGCCTAAAAAAGTGAAATGTGAAAAAGCCACTGCTAGTTTATTGGTTGATAGGATTTTTTTCCCTTAATGTGGAACCCAGGGAATTTCTTTATTTAAAAAGGAAGAAGGGGAAAGAATAACCTGGAGAATTTCCAAATAGCAGCTTTTTGTTAAGTTGAGCATTTGGAAACATACTCAAAGCCTAAATATAAGGCTTAAGTTATTTGGGAATCCTCCCCAGCAAGACTGGGTAATCAGATGATTACTCTGCTTAGTCTGTAGGTATGCCAAGAAAAGCTCAAGCAGGCTTCCTTCGTGTGTGCACTTCATTGCAACCATAAGGAGTACCTAATAGCATCATCCAGTCTCCTTCGTAGATTGAAGCCCTGATATTGCTAAAGTGGATTGCTAAAGTTGATTATAAACTAAAGTTGATGAAGTGCTCAATCTTTTTAAAAATATGGTCATAATATTATGAATATAGTAAGTGTGACTGTTATCATCCCTAGTCTCCTCTTGGATCTGCCAAGAATCATGTGTGCCAAGGATATGTTTATTAACCTAGTTCCAAGCAGTTTGGCTTTTAAATTCCTTTTTCTGGGAAAATTAGATACATCAGAGGAGAAAATAATTTCATGTAGGCAAAGGGGCTTTGGTTTGTAATGGGAGAGAAAGTACTTTAGTACAAGTGGGAAGTATTTCTTGATTGTTCTTAGAATGTCAGTAGCTGTATTCGGCCACTGATTAAAACAGATGGAAGAGAAGTCTAATGGTACCACCATAAGATCTATCACTTGTTTATAAAATGGTTTACCATGAGGTAATAGAGCAATGGATTTCTTGGTTGTAATTTCAGTGCAGTCACTGACTAACTTTATGACCATATGCAAATTAATCTCCAAAGGGTTGGCACTACCACCTTCTTGCTGTAATAGTCTGTGATTCTGTGGGTAGTTCATAATTGCTGTTTAATATAGCTCAGGGTTCAGAAATGTTTGGAATTGCCTCAGCTAGTTTTAGTTTCTCTTCTCTTCCCATCAAGTCATCTCTTCTTACCACCTTATATTTTTCTCTACTAAGAACGCAAATGTCACTTTGAGTGGCTTCCTGTTCTATAATTATATGAAGGAGCTGTTTCAGTATGTAACATTTCTGTTTTCTGTCTTCTTTTATAGGACTTTGTATCTTTGCTAAAGTCAGTGATGTGAAAGGACCTGACATGGGTAAGTCTGACAATGAAATAGTAATTCAGTCCTTTTAGTTACTCTGATTAGTTCAGTTGAATCGAAAGAATGGTTGTTTTTTTTTTTTTAACATTTTCAGTATTTCCATCTTTGTGCTTAATGATAATCTTAAAGGAGATCTCAACCTAATTATGTAATAATGTAATACCAGACAATTTTCTTTTGGTTGAGACATTGTTTATAGCATCATTTGGAAGCATTTTTCATTCATTGTATTGAAAAGGCCAGATACACACTAGCAAACATTTATTATGTGCCAGGCCCTGTTCTGAGTACTTAAAATATATTAATTCATTTAATTTTTTACAACTGCCCTACACAGGTGCCTAATATCAACAAGGAAACTGAGACACAGAGGTTAAGAAACAACTATAACTGGTAGAGCCAGAATTTAAACTCAGGCAGCCTGGTTCCAGGGTCCTTATTCTTTCTTGCTGTGTTATACTAACTTCTGTATGATAAATAATTTAATTAAGGTAGATTTTAAATTTCGTTTAGCTAGTAGCATTGAGAATTAATTGTGATTACAACATTTTCCACTATTTATAGTTCTTTATGTCTATAAAGGGGATCAATACAAGGTCAGGACTAATAGCCAGTTAGGAATAGGTTGAACTATTTATTTATACGGTTAGATCTTATAACATTCCATGTGCTCCTTTTTAAGTCACGTTAGTCTTTTCAGTTTTTTTCTGTTGCTTAGTCTACCTTCTCTCTTCCCTGGTCATTTGTTTCACTTTTTCTCTAATTGTTGATGTCACTGTAAGTCACTGAGTTCCGTCACTCTGATCTGTTACTATTCTAGCTCTTTTATACTAACAAAGGTCTCAAAGGTGGTGATACGTCCTCTATCAAAGGTGGTTATAAAGTAAGGTTCTGCCATAGCATCACAGTAATTGAGCTGATATCTGTTAAGAGCCAGATAAATAAGTGATACTTTTTGCAGAAAGAAGTTCGGGAACATTAATTTTTAAAGCACCTTTTTGAGTTAGACAAAGGAAATAAACAGTTGTTAACAGTGTTTGTTTCCGAATGGTGAAATTTCTTTCCCTTTTTTTTTTAATAGTTAAATTTTTTTCTACAGTTGAAACATTCAAAGTTTTTTTTTTGGGAAAATTTCATTTTTTTTTTTGAACTTTGAGTTAAGCTTTTTTTTAATACTTGCACAAGTTTTGAACTATTTGGTAGATAGATGATCTCAGTCAATTCCAAATGAGCCAATTTCTGCATGTGGGCCTCTTTTTGACAGTGACATTTTGAGATTTCTGGCTAATGGTTAGTTCGGAACGAGAGGTTTTATTTGAGTATAGAGATGTTCTTTGGGAATCATTTTTATTAGGTGAAATGATTTGTTCATAGGAAAGTAGTTATTGAAGAATTATGTGACCTGAATTAATTGGGATTCTTTCCCCAGATGATATTGCTGATAGGATGAGGATGGATGCTGGAGAAGTAACTTTAGTGAACCACAACTCCATATTCAAAACCCATCTCCTGGCACAAACAGGTTTTCCAGAGGACCAGCTCTCATTTTCTGACCATCAGGTTGGAATAATTTTCTTCCCTTAGTTAATTAGTTTGGCTTAAGTTTTCATCTGATGTAATTTAAATGCCACACTCAAAAGGATAAACATATATCAACTTTTTAGAATCAGTATTTCTGGTGTTTTGAATTATTTTTGATATATTAAAGTTAAGACAAGAACTAGGCTGTGTATGAGTTTTTTGAGAACAATATCTGTTAGAAAACTTATTATTTCTGTGTGTATTACAATTACCAAAGCACAGGTCAGTGTTCTTTTAAACTAGTGTCTTAAAACTGCTGAGCATTAAATGTGGGGAAATATGTAAATATACAGAAGCTTTGAGATTTCCCTGTGCTATAAAATGTAATTTCTCAAAGGACTAGTGTCAACAGGATCCCCTGGGAGTTTGTTAGAAGTGCAGAATCCCAGGCTTCACCGCAGACCTACTGATTCAGAATCTACAGTTTTAAAAATTTCCAGCTGATAAATAGAAATACCACATGATCCAATAATTTTTCTCCTGGGTACTTACCCAAAGAAAATGAAAACACTAAGTCAAAAAGATATATGCACCCTTATATTTATTGCAGCATTATTTACAATAGCCAAAACATGGAAGCAACCTAAACGTCCACTGATAGAAGAATGGGTTAGGAAGATGTGGTATACATATACACATGTCATGCAGCCATAAAAACGGATGAGATCTTGCCATTTGTGACAGTATGCATAGACCTAGCGAGTATTATGCTAAATGAAATAAGACTGAAAGACAAATACCATACGATTTCACTAATATGTAGGATCTAAAAAACAAAACAAAATGACAGAATTTGATCTGTAAATACAGAGAACAAACTGATGGTTGTGGGGATGGGAGGTGGAACAAAGTGGGTGAAGGTGAGTGGGAGGGACAGGCTTCCAATTATGGAGTGAATAAGTCACAGAAATAAAAGGCACAGCATAGGGAATATAGCGTGACAGATGGTAGCTACATTTGTGGTGAGGATAGCATAACATATAGAAAAGTTGGATCACTATGTTGTACACCTGAAACCAAGGTAACGTATGTCAGCTATGCTGAAATTAAAACATTTTTTAAAAAAAGGAAAAAAAAACTCCAGCTTGTTTATTTCCACATTAAAGTTTGAGGAACATTGTTAATAAAGCAGTCTTTTTCAGTAGGAAAGCCATTACTAATATGGATGAGACAGTTCTTTACTGTGTGAATCTCTCCCAAGCAAAGCAGAATGTTTAGCATTCTTGGCCCTTGGGCACTAAATATGTGTAACATCTGCCCCCAATAATCATTTTTGGAAACTGAATATATAGTCACACATTTCCAGGTTGGTACTGGGGTGCAGCCCCACCCCTGATTAAGAGCTTCTGTATGAAGTTATCAAAAGATTCAAAACCAGGTTCATTTGTCACCCTCTTTGATAAATGATACAACTGGCTTTCAGAACAGGATATACTATGTGCATATTTACCTTTTAATGAGTATCCTTTGAATTAAGTTGTATAACAGATACTTTGCCTATTTTTCCCCTTGAAGCCTCAGTCATCAGATTGCCTATGCGTTTTCCTTTCTTATTAGTATGTAGTTTCTTTATAATATATAAAAATATAATTACACTGAATTCTGAAATATGTCATAACCTTGTTTAATGATACATGTTTCCGAACATAGATTTTTATTCCATTTTATTGTCAAAAATACGATTTAAGAAAAATCTTTTGCTTTGTTTAGATTTTACCTTCCAGGGAAGGAAATTTGGACCGATCTTATACATGTTCTACAAGAAGTGCAGCTTATAATCCAAATTATTATTCAGGTATGACATATTACTTGGAGTCACAGCATTTGTATCATTCAGATTTCTTCCTAGCAAGTTATGTATGTTTACCATCTCCAGAGCAAAAACATTGTCAAGAGCAAAATGGTATTTCCTCCACTAAAACATCACTGTGTGTGGGGTGGCGGGGAGGGGAGGTTACTATAATACTTTACTGACCTAGTCTCAACCACTTATATTTAATGGAAAAGTTTTTTGGGGATCCGTTTTCTTACTTGTTCATTATGTCATTGTGAAAAGCAGTACAGCTTTGGTTTTGACTTTTTTTTTTTTAAGATCTGTGTGTATGATGTAAAGGATATTTGTTTTGGATTGATATAAAGCATAGAGTTAGCCTATTTCTATTCTGCTTGAAACCATGAATCCTGAAAAATTATTTCTACCCAAGCTTATCCCTCCATCAGGGCAGGAAATGTTAACTACATGTTTCTATCTAGCACCTGCCACAGCCATGCTTGCATATTCAAGGGCTTGCCTGGTCAGCTTGTGATCCATGGCAGAAGTCAGCATTCTCTAGGCTCTTCCTAGTCCCTGGCCTGCCCGACTTTCCATCTGCCCCCTTCCTAAGGTTAGGACTTCCAGTGATCTTCTGGCTCTGTCTTGGGGAAGCTAAGAGGTTTTTATTGATTAGCTTCCTGGCAGTACGACCCAGGAAGGTTATAGTGCCTTCCCATGTCTTATCACTCCTAATGCTTCAGTCTCCTTACCTTCCACAAATATGGCAATATTAGTAATACTGTTGAACCTGCCCTAATAGGATTTTTATAAGGATAAATTGAGGTAATAAATATGAAATGCAAATAATAATTATTGTTATTTGGCTTCCTCAGGATTCTTTGTCAGCAAGATGAGATCTCGTCCCCTAAAAAGACGTTAGTATGATGATCTTTTAGATTTATATTATATTTAAATGTCATTTAGGTGGGTGGTACTTTACCCTGGGCTCTGAATTTCCTCTCGTGGTATGGGAAATGGCCTCCACAAAGTATGTGCATAGTTTGTGTAGGAAAATCCGTTAACTGGCTTAGAAAGTAACTCTGCCATCATTATTATTGGAAAGGCCTTTCTGATGAGCAGAGAGCCTGACATCTAGTTGGATAGTTCATTATTAATCCTAGGGAAAGGACAGTTGAGTGGATAATGAAATGAGATCATTAATATTTCCATTTGAACTCAGGCTGTGTTTGCTTATAATTTCATATTGTTGATTTACCATTGGATAGAATATTTCCTTTTAGTTTAATTGCTTAATAATAAACAATTATATATAGAAAATTATACTCAAAATCTGCTGACCATAGCAACTCAACTCTGTGGCCTTATCCATGTGTACATACATGATACACATTGATTCAATACATATCTTTTTTAGCCCAATATTTTAATTTTTACTTTTCCATCTGTTTACATGTTATTCTTGGTGTCTACCTTTTTCTGTTGATTTCTAATAATCCATGGAACTGATATGCACATTCACAATGCTTTATGTGCAATTCCAAAATCCAAAAAGCTCTGAAAACCAGAAATTCTTTTCATAATTCATTTGGCATCCAAACTGACCCGACCTGAATTCATTCCTTGGCAAAACCCACATGAATTGACATGAAGCTATTTATATTTTTTCTTCTATTTATTTCTGTAAATATGAGTATTTATATATTTCACTGCAGATATATCAATATGTTTGATTATAGGGTGCAGCTTCAAATTATACCTTGAAGTGTTACATAGTATATACCAGGTTATCTTTCTAAAATTCCAAAAATTTTAAATTCAGGAGTGCAGTGCGACCTAGGGGACTATGATTTAGGATAATGGTCCCATTCCTTCATTTGCTTCATTATTTTCTCTATAGTTTAGGTCTCCTTCACACTCACTATTTTTAGCTATTGTAAGTAATATGACTTAAAAACATTTGTATATGTAGCCTTTTTTCTTTTAAATTTCATTACACCTTTGATATTCATAAAGGATATATCCGAGATCATCTCAGATCTTAATGTTCTTGACTATGGTGGTATTTGACCAGATTCTTGGCTTTCTACTCAGTTGCATGACTCTTGAGAGGTACATTTTTTCTATGTTTGTCATCATACCATAAGTTGATCCCTATATCAGAATGTTACACTGAAGTTTTGTCTCTCATTTGAAGGCTATTTTTTAGGGAGAAAAAAATTACTTCATAGCAGTTACTGTATACATGATGATGAATAGCGAATAGCAACAGTGAATAACAAAGCCATATTGAAATGGGGATGCTATTAGAGTCATTCTCTAAATTACAGCCTGAAGCAGAGGATTCAGATTTGTGCCTCTACCAAATTTCATCTCATCCCTGACCAAACAAATGTATGGCATGTCACAGTCCTCCAGGGTTGCTCTCTGACAATCAGAATTTTAAATCTGTGAAGGCCAAGGGTTTCAATACTTTTTTCTTAAAGTCTTCAATTTAAATCTACTTTTTACTGTGTATTTTTCTTAACTTCGTTCCTTTGCCACACCCATTCCAGTTGATTTTAAGTCCTGCGGAATTTTGTCTCTGCTCTCTCCTTTGTATGTTTTTTCTGATAATTCCCACATTGATTTCTGAAGTCAGTCACCTTAAGCTTCATTGCTTGATTAGGTGAGATGGGGTCTCCAGTTTATCCTCCTTAGTCTTCTCATTCTGTCTTGGTGTTTGTCTCCTCTCTTGCTATTGTCTTTTCCATCAAGGTGAAAACAAACACAGGAAAGCCCCAAACTTTAGGGTCTGGAGCTTACCATTTACTGCTTTACTGCATCTGCCTCTCTGTATCAAGTTTTTTAAAAATCTCCTTCTTAATCCACTTAAGATTAGACTATTTAAAAAAATCTTTTTTAGAAGGCAGAGAAAATGCAACTCTTTTACTTTAATAACTTACTGCTGGTCAGACTTCAAGACCTCTTGCTTTTATTAACACAATTGAAAATTAAAACATTTTAAACACTAAACAAAAGTAGATTAAGATGAAAAGAAATTATTTTGCTCATGCTTAGAATCATTATCAACATCTCATCTTTGGAAAATATGTTAAATTAGGTTGCCATACTGGCATTTAGTAGATGATTTAAAGCATCCCGCTATTTATAATAACTAAATCTGAAAGTTAACAGGAGCAACTGATGATGGTTACTTTCATTGTAAGTGATTGCCTGACATACTTTTTTTAAAATATAAAGTTTATTTCATTATGTCCATAAAAGTATTGCTTGTCCTTGTAGAAAATTTGTAGAGAAAGGTAGAAAATACCCATCATTCTATTATCGGAACACAACCAAAATTAAACTTTTGGTGTATTTCCTTATAGTTTTGTGTGTGCGTATGTACACATAGTAAGTTATCTTATTTGTGGTGTTTGCAATCTGATTTCTTAATGATGACAGAATACCAGGTTAAACCATCACTAAAAAGAGTGTCTGCAGCCCCATGTGGGTCCCTCTCTAGCTCTGCTTGATTACATCAGCAATAGAAGACTATTGATTGCTTTCGTTGAGTGGGGATGGAACCACCTTGTTCTGGTTAAACAGACTGCCTGATCCTGTGCTTTTCCCTTGCATTTAAAAGCTGAAGTCTTTGTGAAATGCCCTTGAGGAGGCTACTTTGGCTTATCCTTGGTCTCAGATTTCACACTTATCAGGGTAATTTTGCATTTTTGGTAGACATTCCTCAAGTAGACATCTCTAGTTAGATCATTCCCTAATCATATTTTAGCAAAGAAGCGTAAGAGACAGATTTCTACTGTTACTACTTTGCATTTAAAGATTAAAATGTTCTGGTCCTTTAATGCTGCTTATTTTTTTTTATTAGCCTTATGTTTCTCTCCTTAAAGTAGTAATAGTAATAGATGCTAAGCATAGATACTGATTGCAAAGGTACAAGGTTATAATTAATTTTGAGAGTAAATTTAATTATTAGAGTAGGTTCATTCAGTGGTGAATCAACTGGTACTAATACCACCCCGAATGCTGCTTTTTTTTCCTGTCTTATTTATCCTAAATCCTGATAATCTTGATCAAAAAACTCACAAAAAACAAACAAAAAAAACCCACAGTACAAAACTTATTTTTGTCAGCTACCCTATTTTTTGGATACAGTATCAAAAGCCACATTAAATATTTTAAATAACATAATATTGTGCAGAGTTCTATAGTGATATGCTATGAAAGAGGATCTTCAAAATGATGCTAGCATTAGGCAAAAATTCAGGAAATAGAGAATTATCATTCTCATTTTTTCACTGGTGCTCCTCAGAGTTCCATAACCTGACATCTGAAGTTATTTTGAAGGTGCTGTTTTAAATTGTTTGATCCTGCTGATAGGGAGAGGTGGATTTAGAAATTATTCTATTCCTGGGGCACCTGGGTGACTCAGTTGTTTGAGCATCCAATACTTCATCTCGGCTCAGGTCTTGATCTCAGGCTCGTGAGTTCGAGCCCTGCGTTGGGCTCCTCGCTGGGTGTGGAGCCTACTTAAAAAAAAAAAAAAGGAAAAAAATTATTCTATTCCTAGCTGAAATTTCAAGAGACTTTTCTTACCCTAGTTTGTAAGCCACAAGTCAGGAGATTCAAATAATAAATAATCCTCACTTAGTCTGATTGCAGTAACAAGCATCGGAGGGAGTATTGATATGTCTGATGATTATGACATTAAGTGACCGAAGGTTATCATACCAGAACCAGATGCATACGATGGGTCATTCCTGCCATAAGCCAGCCAGAATAAGCAGCAATGAGGTTATCTCTGCTCTTAGAGAGAGCCCCTGAGTCGTGAACATGGTAATTAAAAATAAGAAAGTGACACCAGCTGCTTATTAAGCAATAACTGTTGTTCATTTGAATTACAATTCTCCTTGGCCCTCCACCTGCTTTCTTACTGGTCTGGCCTACCTTCTTTCAGGCCCAGGCCTGGGAGTGCTTGCAAGATATAGTTGGGGTAAAATGTTGACTTTTGGTGGACACCACGGAGTCACATTGATGCAGATAAGGCACATGGCTGTGGCAGGATTCAGCTCCTTCATCAATTTTCAGGTTAGTATGGCTGAATCAATTATAGTTTGTAGAAGTTCCCTTACTGCAGACTTTACTGGCAGTTGAGACCGGGATCTTTCTTCCATGAGAGACATGGTGCTTTACCACATTACTTTGGAATACAATGTTGGACATGGTTGCAGTCATATGGAAAACTACTACTGTAGGTGTTTGTCTAATTATTCAAACTTTTATTCTTTTAGACAACCCTTCCTCAGACAGTTTTCTTGGCTCAGGAGATTTAAGAACCTTTGGCCAGAGTGCAAATGGCCAGTGGAGAAATTCCACTCCAGCATCAGGTTCAACTTTACAAAAATCAAGAAACAGCCGAAGTCTTTACCTCGAAACCCGAAAGACCTCAAGGTAGGTATTCTGGCCTCCTAGTTCACAAGCCTTTCCTCTGATATAAGAGAAAATGGCCATGAGATAGTTGTTGACATTGGCATTGTATTTTATTTATTTTTGGGGTGCAAAAAGGTGGTTTTATTAAAGCATGGGGACAGAACCTTTGGGCAGAAAGAGCTGTTGCCCCCGGAATTGTGGAGAGCAACTTGACATTGGCATTTTAAAGGAGTAACATTGTTTCTGAATTTTAAACTGTGAAAATATGGACAAATCCATTTTAAACCTTCAACTTTTAATTTACTTGGTGCTGAATTTTGGTGACAGCCAAAGTTTCTCATTAGAGGAGAGTTTTGAGGGAAATCTTGGTGCATCTGAGTATTTTGGGATTAATATGGCTGTTATGAATCTTAAATTTCTACAACTTCAGTAGCAAAGAAATCAGTACATCTTATAGGCTCTCACATGAGCAGAGACTTGGCTTAAACCAACGAAGTTCTGCACTTCATGGCCTTAGTCAACTAGATTTAAACTACCTCTCTTAGAAAATAGAGTTATGAATTCTTTGTAACTGTTTTCTTTTTCCTTTTTAGCCCAATTTCATAAGTGCTCCCTATGCCCTCACCAAGCTTATACTGATCATTAAAGACAGATGAGGTTTGGCTTAGAAACTTTTCCCTCAGGAACTTTATTTGTAAAATATATATTTTTTAAATATTATTTATGACTTCTTAAATTTTACTCTGGTGATGGATTTTAGGAATGTCAGATCATTTAATTTCCTGCTTAGGCAAGGCTAAGCTTTCTGGTGTTGATAGAAACCAATGAATGAGATAGCTTTTATTTTATGATTATTAGCACATGGACTCTGGAAACATGTGTCAGTACTCTCAGGGGTCTTCCCCACTTCTTAACATATTTTTAGATTCCACAAGAATTCATTAATGCATTCACATTGTAAAAATTAAAACGTTGCCAATAAAACTAAAGATCCTTGACCATTCCTCACAATCTTATTGCCCTCCCTTTGGTGTGTTTCCTTCCAAACCGTTCCCCTATGCTTGGGTTTTTTTTTTTGTTTTTTGTTTTTTTTGTTTTTTTACTCCTATGTAGCATGAGATATATGCTATGTATACTATGAAATGTATAATGCTATTTTGTCTTCATTAAAGATTTTCTATATGTATTATTTGGCAAGTTGCTTTTTTTACTCGATAAGGCCATACTGTTATTTTTTTAAAATAACATTATTATAGAAACAAATACATGTGCTTTGTAAAGATTCAGAAAATACAGATAGGTAAAAACATCATTGTTTCCACCAATGAGAGATCACCTCTGTAATATCCTAGTGCATATCTTTTCAGATAGTTTTCTCTGCATTTACATGAATTTTCTGGGTGGTTATTGCCCTTAAGTCTCCTACAGTCTAGAACAGCCCTTTTTCCTTATGACATGACTTTTTCTTCATGATGTTCCACCTTTTGGACTTGACAGGTTTCTTCCTCATAGTATTATTTTGTCATCTATCCTCTGTAGTTTTTGTAAATTAGATTTTTGTCTTGAATAAAAGCTGGTGCTATGTTATATCACATTAAAAACCTACAAATCTGGTTCTCCTCATTAGTGATACTGGATTGACCTCTGGATTAGAGAGATAATAATCTGGTCCTTTTGTGCAGTTAGTTTTCTCCCCCTTGTCATGACTAGAATGTAATCTGAATGATGATACTTTGGCATTATATCAACGACCAATTTCACATCAGCCTAATAGTTACTCATATCAATTGATAATCCTTACCTGATAATTTTTTTTAAAAATTGAGGTGAAATTGGCATACAACATTATATTAGTTTCAGGTATATAACATGATGATTCAATATTTGTACATATTACAAAATGATCACGGTCTAGTTCACATCTATCGGCATACATAGTTACAAAATAGTTTTTTCTTGTGATGAGAACTTTTAAGACCAACTCTCTTAACAACTTATATATGCAATAAATATGCAATATTTAATATGCAATATAGTATTATATGCATATAGTATTATGCAATATAGTGTTATGAATATGCAATATGGTATTATTAGTTATAGTCACCATGTTGTACATTACGTCCCCAGGACTTATTTTATCCTTGAAGTTTGTGCCTTTTATCCTTCTTTGACCTGATAATAGAATAGTTTTATTAGAGTTAATGAAATAGTACTTTTCCAATGTTACTATTTCTTCTATACTTATTGTCATTCTGCTACGAAGGGGATTTTTTTTTTCCTCATTAGGTAAGGTTGTATGGTTACCCTGAAATACATCTCCTACTGGGAAGGCAGGAGATAGGATTAGATCTTTCTTTTTCATTACCAGTATTCAAAGTGGATTTGTTTTTGTTTTTTAATAGCCACTTCATGTGGTTCAGATGACTTTTTCTATTCTTTTTTAGTGTTATTCCAGATTCAGTGTGTTTCAGTCCACTACAGTCATTATTCTTTTAATGTTCACATTCTCACAGTTTTGGCTACCGGGTCTCCTTCAAGCTCACTGCTGTGTCTGGCCCAACCTCTTTAATTGTAGGTAGCATCCTTGCTTTCTGGCATTGCAAGATGCCCTCCCACTGTTTTTTGTTTGGAAGAAAGTCTTTTGCATTAAACACACACACACTCTAGGCAGCATCAGTACAAAAGGCATTGTGGGGAATTCATTATATCTTCACCAGACAAATTGTACTGCCCTTGCCTTCTTTTTGTAGCAGCATCCACCCATCCTAAGGAAATAAGCCTGTTCCTGAAATTCTGACTCCCTGTTTCTTTCCCCACTCTAACACACATAGAAACCATTGTAATTTGAAGAGTTAGAGAGCATGTAAGTGATTTTTTTTTTAAGTTTGCATTTTAATTCCAGTTAACTTACAGTGTTATATTAGTTTTAGGTGTACAATATAGTGATTCAGCCCTTCCACACATCTACCCTGGTGCTCATTACAAGTGCACTTCTTAATCCCCATCACCTGTTTCACCTGTCTCTCCCACCTCTACCTCCTCTCTGGTAACCATTAGTTTGTTCTGTGTAATTAAGAGTCTGTTTCTTGACTTGTCTCTTTCTCTTTTTTTTTCCCCCTTTGAGAGAGTATGTAAGAGCTTTTTTATTTTCTTTACACCTAGTCTGATTTCATTTGGATCCAGACCAAATGTACTGATTTAAAGAGTTGATTTCATTGAATTCAACTTAGTTGGTTGTGTATCTCTATTCTGCATCCTTAGGAAAAAAAAAAAAAAGAGAGAGAGAGAGAAAATTCAGTATGCTGAGAGCAGGTAGCTCATAACTTGCTGGGCAGTAACAGATAAAAAAGACCACACAGAAAAATAGAAAGAACTTTAAATTATTAATCTAGTCTTAGAGATAAGACTTGGTTTTAAGTTCACAAAAGTATTTTTCCTGCCAGTTTTTTTCTATTATTTGGGGTGCACAAATAGTTTAAAGAAACAAAACAAAATTCTCCTTCAGAGGAGGTAGTTAGGCCAGAAGAATTGACAGTGATGTAGCCCAGGAGAAAGCCTTCTGGTTGTTTTTTAATGAAGGAAGGGAGCCATCTGTTGGTTTTTTTAGGAAATTTTAAAATTCAGTTTAAAAGCTCCATTGAGAGGCTTCAGCTTTATCCATCTTTGCATACTGAATCTTAAAATAATTCCCTCCAAAGGATTGTGGGAGGAGGCTGCAGCGAGTAAATAGAAAGTGTATGTTAGATCCCTCAAACCCAGGTTTTCTGAAGAAGTCTAACCTGACGTACTTGTTGTCATACTGCGCAGGTCTTTGGTTCCTGACCAAGGGAAATATAAAGCTAAGAAATACAATTTTGGATGTTTGATAATTATATAGTATGGCAATCTAGGACTTCTTAAGTGGCTGAACCTGATGCAGCAACCCATGTATCATTTCTTGTATATTTCCCTCAAATGGTAACATCCCTCATTCTGCCTGTTGGTGTTGGTTTTGTTGACACTTTGGTGGTTTTTGTTATTTCCTGAAAGTAAAAATCACTAGGTTCGATTTTCTTGCTGTTCTTTTCTTACAAACTCTGGGGTTTTTTTTTTTTTTTTTTTTTGTTTTTTTTTTTTTTAGTGGATTATCAAACACTTTTACGGGAAAGTCAAACCATCACTGCCATGTGTCTGCATATGAAAAATCTTTTCCTATTAAGCCTGTTCCAAGTCCGTCTTGGAGTGGTTCATGTCGTCGAAACCTTTTGAGCCCCAAGAAAACTCAGAGGCGACATGTTAGTACAGCAGAAGAGGTAAGGAAAACCTGCAACAAAGGCTGCTAAAGGTTAGAATCTTTCCCTGTACTTAGCCATTTGTTCCCTCTGATTTCGATGTTTATTAACCATTCCATTTAATCCTTTATGTGCTTTTTCTTTCTTACTTTTTTGAGTGCCATCATCTGTGCTAAAGAAATTAAAGAGAGATTTTAGCAGGACTTCATTTCTCTTACTGTTTTCTATTCTTGTGGAGCAGCAGACTTAATTTTCACTATTTTCTAAATGACTTCTCATACATCAAACTACCTCTGTTCTCTTTTTTTTGGACCCTTCCTCAACTGGAATTTCTTGTGGCAAAACTGTTAACCTTGCTGGATTTGATAAAATACGTGCCCTTATTTCTTATTAGGACAATTTTCCCTCAGTATAAAAAGAAAATCAAGAAGCCAGCTAAATAATTTATGTCCCTTCATTATGAGTAAGAAGATCTTTGAGATCATAGATATTCCCCAAAAGAAAGATGTTTTGTTGACACTTTGGTTGTTATATGCATTCAGTAAACCTAAAGGAAAAAAATCAATTCTGTAAATATAATATGGCATATAATTTGTGTGGTAGAGAATGGGCTTGTACCTGTCAAATATTTGTTATGCATCTAGTCAGCCTTGGACTGCTTGCTATGAGGATACAAATAAATAACAATACCTTACATTTATATAGCATATAGAGTTTCCAGTATGCTTTCCACATGTATTATTATGTTGAATCATTTTAATCCTGTGAAATAGGTAGAGATGAGGTAATATCCACATTTTATACATATTAGGAGAGTGAAGGTCGGAGGTCACACAGCTAGTACATGGCCAGCCTACAACCCAGCTCTTCTGGAGTCTAGTCTGGGATGCATCCTGTTATACAACACAGTGGTGTGGTTCCAGCCCATTGGAGCTTACAGACTGGGGAGTCAAGAATACAGCATTTTGTGCTAAATAATTAGATAATTTGGTAATGAAGATCTTTTAAGTGGCAAAATTTGTGACATGGTTAGTAAAAATGCTATACATTCTGTTTGGTTTTATGTTTGTACTGAATCCGAAATATTTTAAGCAGAGGGTGACGGCAGTAGTACGTCATATTTAGTAGAGAAAGGGTAGATGAGAAACTGGCAGCAGTTGGCTTTGGTGATGAGAGCTGAGCAACAGTTATAAAAGTGAGATTTATCTTTTACTTTTGTACTACTGAATTTAGTACCATGTATGTATTGGTTATTACATAAATAATATTTTTAGATTACTGGGGTTGCTTCTGCTGGAACCTAGGCAGCCTGTGGGGTCCAGTGAGACTTGTGGGGAAGGAGACAGCAGCAGCATGGTGGCTGGATATTGGCCTCCCAACCCTCCCCTGCCTCACATGGCTGCCGCTGAGATCTCCGGGACCTTTAAGATTATCTGTGTTCATTGTAAGCCCGCCATTCACCCACTAGCCAAACAGTCCTTTGGACCACTCAGCCCCTCCTCCTTTCACTTATACCTCCGTCTGAGGACTTGGGCCAGCTGGGTTATTTTCAACCCTCCACGCCATGGGCTGGCCCATGTAGGACATGAAGCTGGAGTTCCCCTTCCTTCTGCAGTGCCAAAAAGATGGCCAAGGATTTAACCTATCCCACGCAACAAGAGATGCAGAAAATTTTGCATCAATCAGTTGTTTTTAGGTCTATATTCTGCTATGAGAAGCGACTCACTTGTAGTATAGAAATATGGAATCACCCATATAATAAAAGTAAGACAAAATATTGGACCAAACTTTATTAAATCAAAGTATCAACAGATTATTTAGATATTTAGTCTTGGATAGTATGGATAATCTAGATTAAAATATAATACTTTTTCCCCCTGGGAATAAAGAATTTACTGGTAGGAGCTTACAAAGTGGAGGAAAAGTTATTAATCCATGGAAATATTGGGATCTCCAAGGGAGATACAGTTGCTTATGTTAAAGAAGGAAAATTATGTATTAATTTTACTGCTGGATTTATCACCTTCAGGAATCTAAAGCCATCTATAAAATTAACATGATGTGACCACTGCACTGTTCAGTCTTACAACAGGAGTTTAAAAAGAATACATAAAGAAGAATTTGGAAATACGTAAGGGGTGACCAGTCCACCACTTGGCTGATGGCTGATTCAAGGATATCATTAAAGAACTGTACTGTCAAATAGGGTAACCACTAGTCATATGTGCTACTTAAATTAATTCAGTTAAAATAAAAAATTTAGTTTCTCAGTAACATTAGCCACATTTCAAGTACTCATTAGCCACATACTCTGTTGGCTGTCATGTTGGACATGTTGCTAAGTGGCTACCATGTTGGACAGTATCTCCAACACTGTTTGGAGGATGTGGATTTCTGTTTGGGAAAGAGAAAATACTAGGGATTTTAAAAATGTAAAATGGTAAAAACTGTTTCTTTTCGCTTATATGTTGCTTCCAGGCATGCTTCTCTGCAACATATTGAGCAACATTTTAGGATGTTGGACTTTCTTAGTAGATGACACTGGTGGTTTTATTCTTTAAAAACAAAACAGACTTTACAATTTTGTTATAACCAAGAATTTTGGACTTAAAGTTGTTGAATTATGTACTTTTGATAGTTGAAATTTATTTATATAATATAAATTTTAAACAGAATCAAAGTTGGGAGATTTATGAAGTTATTTGAATAATTTACAAAAGATTTTACTAGTTTTCTAAGATTTATTTTGTGTTCTCTGTTAAATTTTTATAATTTTACAGTTCAGTTTTATGATGGAGACTCTTAACAGAAGCATCTAAATGCAGGAATCTGCCAAAAAAATCTATTTTTTAAATCTATTTTTAAAAAATAGAATTCAGCACCTTATATATCTTTATACTGTTTTAAAACTTTCCTTGGTGCTTTATTATGTTTAAAATGTAACATCAGTCAATTTCTTTTACTTTAACATATTATCCAATTATTATTTCCTTTCCTCTTAATTTCTTAATTTGCTTACTCGGTAGGAACAGTTTAATAAGTAATGTACAGAGAAAGATGTTTTCTTTTACTTTATAGTACCAGATGCTCCAAAAAAGAATTGTGTTTGAAGTTTGAAGTGACTTACCTTTTTGCATTTTCTTTTGGTAAAGCCAAATGTTATATATGTTCTTTTGAGAGTTGCCGGACTATCTTTTCTTTGCCTAAAATAGAAGATAAATTCTTGTGACCTTTAAATTACTGTGTAGAACAGTGAAAAGTTCTTAACTTTTTTTCTATAATTTCTTTTTTTAGACTATAAGTTAGTTGAAACTGAAAGTATGAGGCTTCAAGAGACCTCAGATAATTATTTAGAATACAGAATATCTATTCCTGTTCATTTTATGGTGTCTAATGACTGTGAGGTTGTTCAGGCTTAGAGGCTTTTCTTTGAAAAACTAGGGAAAATATCTGTGGGTGACCTATGTGTGTTTAATTGATTTTTAAAAATCAGTTCTTTACATTGAATTAATCTAGATTTGTCATAATTTACTTTAGCTGAGTCAGTTAATGGCACCTTGGTTCTTCATGTTTTATTTAGAAGTATAAAAATTTATTCTAAGAAACCATTTTGCTGTGTGATGTGAGGGAGGAGAGAGGTGTTTTTAACTTTTTACGGTTGAAGTCTGTAGGATACAACAAGCAAAGATCCTTTCTATGTCACTGTTCTCAGTGTGCTTCTGAAGTCTTCATGTGATGGGGATATTTCTTTACATTCCCTTGGTATGCAGAGTAACCTCTTAAACCAATTTCTCTGCTTTATTTTCCTCCCTATGATGTGATAATGCAGCCAAAGCTTTTTAAAATCTAGTTTGGTAGGACAGTGGAAATGAACTTAAAATGATTGGTCAATTAAGAGTGAATTTCCATGATCCAGGTGGTATTACTCTTCTGATTTGCCTTCACTCCCTCCATTTTAACACTCCTGAAAACAACATACTGTTAACCCCACTGTATTGTGGGTTATGAATTAGGTTATTTGGTGTAGTGGGAAAGTGGGGTCAAAATTTACATTGGTGGGGTTACGCCTGGGTGGCTCAGTCAGTTAAATGTATGCCTTTGGCTCGGGTCATGACCCCAGGGTCCTGGGTTTGAGCCCCACATCGGGCTCCCTGCTCAGCGGGGAGTCTGCTTCTCCCTCTGCCCCCTCCCCCTGCTCATACTTGTGCTCCCTCTGTCTCTCTTTCTCTCTGACAAATAAATAAATAAAATCTTTAAAAAAAAATTTACATTGGTGGGTGTTCAAAAATTTCAGTCATTAAAGTGCCAGATAACACGGCTTTCCTGTATGTTGATCACTATGGAGTTGGCTGGCAATCTCTTACAATCTAATAATCTGTAATGAAGCTTCATTCCTCAGACTGTCTACTTAAAGAACCTTTATAATAACAAATTTAGTTTTTAATAAAAAGGCATTTGTTGTAGTTATAGTTTTTAAATTTATGTCGCAGATACTCATGTCCTCCGCAGTACAATAGCCAAAACCTACAGATTTGGTAATTGATATTAATGTATACCTGCTAACCATTATTACTCCTGTGCTGTCACTGAAGTGCCTGCCCAATACTGTAGACTGTCTCTTCACAAACACTAGGGAAAAGGACTGCTCTCATCTTAAATACAGTATTAATGTGTAAGGGATAAAATAATGGAGTTTATTTTCTTCATATAGAAAATTGCAATTTGTTTTTTCTCTTGGGTCTATTTTTCTACCTAATGTTCAACGAATTTTACCTTCTTGCTCATCTATTCAAATTTAAGGGTAGCTCTTTTTATAAGGAGTTGTCATGCTTCACAGTTCAAGGTGAATCTTGTTAGATCAGTAACATTATAGTGACAATGTGACTGAAATTTACTATGTAGCAAACAGTGATCAAGAAGAAAAAACTTAGTGTCTGTTTGCCTTTGCATAGATAGTTGCTTAACTCATTCTGCTTTTAATAATTATAATTGAATAAAATGCTTATGCACATATTGAAATGTCATAGTGCAGGATGCTGCTAGCCCTGGCACAAAGTATTAAAATTATTTCGTGAAGATGGGTGGTTGTATTAAACTGTATATAAGAGTTTTTGTTTTTTTTTTTTTAAAAGTACCAGGGCATGTTTAATGAATGCAGCCCACTGCTTCGGGGGGTCAGTATAGAATAGACGCTTTCCTGTGGTTACAAGTCCATATGTAAACTGGTTCTCTGCCAAGTGACCTCATTTCTTACTGCTCTTCTGATTCACACTGACCTCACTTCCTTGAACACATCAAGCACATACCTGTCTCAGGGCCTTTGCATTTGCTATTCCTCTACCTGGAATAGTCTTTTATAAATTTCTGTGACTTACCTCTTCCCCTGATACAGGTTTCTCTTGAAATATCACCTTTTCAAAGGGGTCTTACCTGTTCTTGTTCTTTCCCCTCCATCACTTTCTATTCCCTTATCTATAGTTTTTTCCATACTATCTGACTAGTCTTGTTTGCCATTCCCTTTAATGGTAATGTAAGCTCCATAAGGAAAGGAATTTTATTCAGTGCAGTATCTCTAGTGAGTGGTGCTTAGTAGGTATTCACGCTAATAAATGAATTCAGTATTGGGGCTTAGGAAGAAGAGTAAATATTGGAGATGGAAACCATCTCTGGAAAATACTTATACTCTTAAAAATATAGAGTATTTCTACTCTAGATAGAGTAGAAAACAGCAAGGTATCCCACTCTGATTTTGACTATTCTGGTTACTTTCTTGTGGTTTTTCTAGTAGATGTCAGGACTCCTAGGGTTTGTTGGAATCCTAATTGAGAGATCCTAAAATATTTTGTTTCTGGAACTCTATCACTTGACTCAAAAGTGATTGCCTCCTGGTCTTCTGGTTTCATATCTTAGAGCCTGTCTGCACTGTTATTTACATACGTGTCCCATAATTTTCTTTCTTTCTTTTTTTCCTAAAATATACTATCTGGTATTTATTTCATTTAACTCCTCTTATAATTTTCTAGAATATCTCTAATGATAATTCTTAATTATCTTGAGGGACTCTATCTGAACTTTGGCAGAACTTCTGGGAGTGTAGATGCTGTTTTCAAAAAACAATTTTCCTCACTGGATGTGTCTAAGATTTTTCTTTTCTTTTTTCTTTTTTTATATAGACAGTCCAAGAAGAAGAAAAAGAGATTTACAGACAGCTGCTACAGATGGTCACAGGGAAACAGTTTTCTGTAGCCAAACCCACCACACATTTTCCTTTACACCTGTGAGTCACAGAAACATATTTCAAATGAATTTAATTCTATATTTTATCATTTGATACTGAAACTATATTCTTCCCTTGCTAGGTCTCGATGTCTTAGTTCCAGTAAGAGTACTTTGAAAGACCCACTGTTTAAAAATGGAAACTCTTGTGCAGCTCAGATCATTGGCTCTGATACTTCATCATCTGGATCTGCTAGCATTTTAACTACCCAGGAACAACTGTCCCACAGTGTGTATTCCTTATCGTCTTATGCCCCAGATGTTGTGGCATTTGGATCCAAAGATTCTGATCCTCTCCATCAACCCCAACATCACCACTCTCTTCTACATCAGCCAGATAACTTACCAGCTTCAAATACACAATCAGAAGGTAAAATTGGTTTTGTATAACTATATTTTCAATCCTAATAGCCAGTTAACTATTTATGGGATCTGTGTGAATCACAGGCAAGGTTGTAGTATGCATGTAACTTAATTAACGTATAAGAAACTTTAAATACATATAATTCAGTTAGCCATACCACAGATAAACTAAGCCTGCAAGTAACTTACTTTTTTCTTACATGGAGATGCAAATGATTTCATATATTTTACTTAAAAGATTAACTTCCTGAGCAGAGTCTAGAGTGAGAGCACAGTCAGCCCAATTACTTCAGTACTTTCTCTGTTTTTAGTACTTTACATTGACCATTAAGTACCCTGAAATTCTAAGAGTTTTGGAACATCAATTAAGTATTGAAGTAAAAGTTCTTAACCAGGTAATACTTAAAAAACCTATATAGTAGGTTTATGCATTTTAGAATGGTCATCAGCAAATTTCAGAAACAAGAGGTTTTTTTGTTTGTTTTTTAAAGATTTTATTTATTTCAGAGAGAGAGAGAGAGCACAAGAGCGAGTAGGGTCAGAGGGGGAAGCAGGGAGCCCGATGCAGGGCTCGATCATGACCCGAGCCGAAGGCAGATGCTTAACTGACTGAGCCACCCAGGCGCCCCAAAAAGAGTTTTCTACCTCATTTTCAGCTAACCAAAATATCCAGACTCTTAGCATTCCAGTTAATGAAGGTTTTCTATAATTTTCTTTGTTTGCTTAGTTTTCCCCTTCTTTAGCTGTGTGTTGTGTGTATTTATGATAGTATGTATTTAGGTATATAACTTAAGTTTTAGGTTAAGTGGTTAGACATTAGGGATTTTTTTTTAAAGATTTTATTTATTTGAGAGAGAGAATGAGAGAGAGAGAGAGAGAGAGCACATGAGAGGGGGAGGGTCAGAGGGAGAAGCCGACTCCCTGCTGAGCAGGGAGCCCAATGCGGGCCTCGATCCCGGGACTCCAGGATCATGACCTGAGCCGAAGGCAGTCGCTTAACCATCTGAGCCCCCCAGGCGCCCGACATTAGGGATCTTTTGATAGATCATTCTCTAAGGCTCTTCCCTCCTTCCTCAGATTGTTTGTTGTTGTTGTTGTTGTTTTTTAAGATATTCCTCACTTTCTTAAAATTTTCACTTGGGGATTAAAATTGTTGGTGGCATCATTATATAGCTACACGTATTCATGAAAACCTTTATAAAATTTTGTGACATGGTTTACTGGGAACTACCATTAAAACCTTTAACCTCAGAAACACAAGTTGTATGACAAAGGCTTAGATGCAACTAAACTGAAATATACTGTAGTACATTGAAGTGTTTCATTACTTTTCTTGTACATTTAATAAATATTCTAAATGAGGTTCTAATCATCTAGATTAGGACATGATCCTCTAGAAGGACACAATTCCTGCCTTTATCAACACTGAAAATAAATGATGAAATGATAGAATTTGTACTTTTTAGCTTCTGCTACTTCTGCAGCTGTCTTTCTACCTTCTGTTCCCCCTCCTTCTTTCACCTTATTCAGCCTCATGGTAGTTCACGAACTAAAGACTTTTGAGAAATCTTGGCTTGTTCTTGTTCCCCAGGAACAGAAAGCTGCAGCTCAGGAATCAAGCACAGCCCAGGAGTAGATGATGAAGGGCATATATACTTGTATTTTAGAATGATTGCTTTCTTTGCGAGGCAAGCTCTTCACTAAGCCCTATTTCTGGCTCAGTGAAAATGGACCTGCCTCTCTTTCTCTTCCATCCTACCTTTGTCCTTATGCTGCATTAGTTTTGTGAAAATAGAATATAAGAAAGTATGGGAACTTAGACTACAGACATCTAGAGTATATAACTGTGTAGGATTTTATTAATAATGATATGCTCTTGTGTTTCTTTTTTAGGATCAGACTCTGTAATTTTACTCAAAGTGAAAGATTCCCAGACTCCAACTCCCAGGTAAGCTTTGGAAAAATGACATTCTTGACATATTTTCTTTTTCTTCTCTTTAATCACAATTTCTTCACTAAGAGTTACATAATATAAAAGTCAAACTGCCTCAGTTCAGACCTCTTGCCTGTGTTATTTGAATTATTTCAGTGACTTTCAAATTGGTCTTCTTCCTCTGGCCTCCTTGTTGTGCTTCATTCCATCTTCCACCATGTTCTCAGATCCATTCTCTGCCTGTTCTTTTACATCTTCCATTCTGCAACCAGAGTGGTCTTTTTAAAAATGCACATCTGATTATTCATTAAATTCCCACAAGAGTGGGCTATCAGACATAGAGTCAAGCCCAAACTCCTTAATATGGTATACAAAGCATTTCCTCCACATGCCTCACTTCCTATCACACGTTCTTTCCTTTAACAAGTATTTATTGATAACTCACGTGTGCCAGGTCCTAATACACACACCGAGGCTAATAGTAGTGAACAAAATGAAAGCCCTGCACTCAAGGAGCTTCCATTCTGGTTATAAGAGGTGTAAGGAAAAAGATGGGGGACAAATAATGAACAAATAGATAAACATATATGTCTGGTAGTGATAAATGTGAAAAAAAATAAAGCAGGCTAATATATAGACTGGGTTAAGGGGGCACAGTTCATCTGGGTGGTCATGGCAAGTCTGATAAGGGACATTTGAGGGGAGACGTGATGGAGGTGAGAGGAGGAGCCATATGGGAAGATGGGACTCTTGTGTGTGTTCATTACATGCTGAACTGTAATATGATATGTACTTACTTACCTTCATAGTCAGTGTTCCTTCTGCCTGGTATGTACGCCCCCCACCTCAACTTGTCTATCTAAAGAAGCAGGAGTCTCTTTCTTGTCTTTTAAGTCTCAATTCAAATATGATCTTCTATATGATACTTGACTTCTGTATGAAACTTTTTGCTCTGTAATTCAGTCAGTTACTGCTTAGATCGTAGTTTCTTTGCCATTGCTGTTTCAATTGCTGAAATGATAATAGTATCAGTTTTCCATTGAGGAATTAGGGATAACGAAATGTTCTTTCTCCTCTCAGTTTCTATACTTCTTTGCGGCTCTCCTATATGTCCTGAATTTTAGATTTTTAAAGAAAAATTCTCTGTTGTGCTTTCTCAAGGAGACTTTACAGTTTGGAGTTCTTATTCTTTATACATTTTTCTTTTCTTGAGTCAGACCTGGGTTTTGATCTTGTCCAGGCATCATGTAACTTTAGACAAGTTACTCTTCTGAACCTTAGTTTCCTTATCAATAAAAATGCCAGTATTAATACCTTACTATTTATTGAATTGCTGTGAAGGTTAACATACACAAAAAGCACTTATAAAAGTATTTTCACACATAGTACACAAAAGTAGGTATTCTTTCTTGGGAAAAAGTCGGTCTCATGTAAAGAGTGCTTTTAGTTCTTTAATAGCTCTTTACTCAGTGTGCCTTTCCTTTATGGAAGATTTCTCTTAGTGATGCCTGAAGAATGAGATGGAGGGAGAAATGGTCTGTTGGGGAAGGCTGATTGAATAATGCTGTTTATTGCAGTTGGAGCCTGCTCTCCCAAGGCTTGGTTGATTGGCTTTTTATTCTTAATCTCCCACTGCTGCCTCTTGGTTAAGGTGTAGCATTGAAGATCTGCCCTTATTTCCCAGAATATGCCATGCTGTTTCCTGTTTTTGTGCCATTGTACATGCTGATCCTAACCCCTGGAATTTTCTTTCTCTCCTTGTCCACTTGTTAAACTCTTGTTTTGCTTTGCAGAATCTGATTCAGGTGTTATTTTCTCCTCAAGACATTTCTCTGACTCCTCCAGATAGCATTAGCCTTTCCTCCCAGTACTTCTATCCCTATATCTTGTTCATTAATAATACCTTTGCACTAATCACCTAATGTTGATCATAATGCCTGGCACATGATGGGTACTTAGTAAACAAATCTTTGTTAAACATGCATTTCCTAGAAAGCCTCAAATGCTCTCTTGAGCAGCTCAAGTACTCATCATCTCCCTATTGGTTTAAGGCTTTGGTTTATTGAAAGGCACATTGCAAGAGTTAGAAAACACAGTCTTTGGAATTGACAGACATAGTTTCTAATCCTGACTTCCAAAACAGATTATCCTCTGAACCTCAATTTCCTTTTCTGTACACTATGAGTAATAATTCCTTATTACATATTATATTGAGGTTTAACTAGTATGAGGATTATCATGAGGCTTAACTACTAGAAAACCTCTAAAGCAGAATTTCACACAGAGCACTGAGTAGGTGCTCCCAAGTTGTTTTAGTTATTACTGTGTGCTTCAGTCATATGAAAAATAATGTATAATCTCTTTGAAAAGCAAAAGGATTTTGCTTTTTCCCTTGCATTTTACTTTCCTACGCCAGCAAATACCTTGATCTTTTGAAGAGCAGTACTTTTCCCTTACAGTATTCATTTATTCAGGAAGCACTGAGTACCTGCTGTCTGCCAAGCACTGTTCTTGGTGCAGAGGATACGGTAGTAAGTACAAAACACAAAAATTCCTATCTTCATTAAGTTTATGGTCTAATAAGGAAGCAGACGAATTTCAATAGCATGATCCAATACCATGAAATTCTGGGCAATTGTTGTCACTTCTTTATGTTGTGCAGTAAATGTGTTTTCATGTTTATTTGTTTTTAGTGTCACACACTAGGCCCCTCACAGTGCTACCACTGATCTCTGTGGCTTTCTATCTTGGTTGTTACATCATATTCACTGTGCCAAGGGTGTAGGCCACTACTTGTGTGTTTTCCCTTTATTAACCTCAGTGACAATGAGGAGGCAATTGAACAGCATTTTCATTGCCAAACCCTAGTCTAAGGATGATTGGGAATACTGATTCCAAAAGTTAGGCTAAGGAGCAAGGGACACCCCCTTGAGTCCTTTTTCTTGCCTTCACTAGGACAGACTGTAGCAGTTGAAGAACTGAAAGGGACTCTGATTTCCATATTTTACAAATCTGAAACTAAGACCCATGGAAATGAAGTGACTTGGTCAAAGTCACAAAGTGAATCAGGGACCACTTCCAGGAGATCCACGTCTCCTAACTCTCAATTTAATGCTTTGTTCTCTTTACTTGTTCTCTGTATCTAAGAGTTTTCTGTGGAAAGTGTTCATTCTTCTGTTTGCTTCTGTGAGAGATCCTTCAGTTAGGGATTGGCAAGGAGATGAGGCCATTTGAGAAAAGCAAGAGGCTCTAGGAGAGAGAACATGCCTGGGAGTCTTTTGCTAAGCATTATTCATTTGGACTGTCAGCAAGAGCTGTGTGGAATAGAATTGGTCGTTCATCTTTGGAGTGGAGTTGTATTGCTGATTTTCCACTTTGATTCATTCGCTCACTAGCCATTTGATATGGACTCTTGTGTGGGTGGGGATTTTCAGTGTCCAGTATGATTCCGTTGAAAATATTTTGATTCAAGTAGACTGACAAGAAGAAGTCCAAGATTTGACTAAATCATTAATAAATCTGTTAATCTGAACCACTTGGGAGGAGTAATGTTCTAGCTTCATATATTGGCAAGTGATGTACTCGTTCACATCGTGTTGGTCTCTCGTGCAAGTAAAGGGCTATGTTACAGTTAATTTCTCTGCTGAACTTTGGGTCATCTTTTTAACTAGTATGTGTGCAAATGACTCATTCTTGTATTCCTTTAGTTCCCAGTTGCAATTATTTTATGTAATTTTGGACTTTTTATTTATTGCATACATATAAAGCATTCTTGTAAATTATTTAAGTGATTGGTTTTCTTGGTGAAAATATTTGAATTTTCTTATAAGCCTCCTGCTCATTTGTTGTATTTTTTTCCCCATCCATAGTCCTACTTTTTTCCAGGCAGAGCTGTGGATCAAAGAATTGTAAGTTGTTTTTTTGGTATCATTTTTCCTTCTCCATCACTTCCTTTCCAGTTAGAAGTAGTCAATTAGCCAATCACCCTACCTATATTTAATCAGTAAAGATTCCCTATTTAATATTTATTTATAAAACAACTTTTAAGTTGTTGGATTTTTAGAATTCTGTTGGGATTGGGACATTTCTGTGCTCAGGTTTATTAAATATGTAACAATTGCTGAAACTAAATTGAATTGGAAAACTTTCAAAGTTAGATATTACATAGAAAGGAAAATAAATGCCCTTATTTTCACACTGATAAAACTAATTTAGTGAATAATTCACATTTCTGGAATTTGCAAAATTACTGAGTTTTTAGTCTCCAGTTTCAATAACTCACTTGGAGTTATCCAAATCCCTGGTCTTGTTCATTTTTTTAGAGAAAAAAAAACTCATATTTTTTCTTTTGGATCATAAATATTTGAATTGAAACCTCAATGATATCTTGTGTTATTTGCTCCTTTGGGATACAGTCTCATTTTTGGGTTTCTAGAATGAAGCTTTAGTTTCTCTGTAATCTTAGAAGCATGCTTTAAAAAAAAAAAAAAGACTACATGTTTACAAATATCCACAAAAGTCACCTGTTCACATTTAGCAATAAACTAATAATTTTCATCATTTCGATAAAAATAGGATAATTTTAATAACAACCATATGGTTTCACTCTGTCTTAAAATACAAGTGTAGTGTAGCGATAAGTTTAGTGTAAGGATTTTAGATTTTCTGTATGAGGGTTTTATATTTAAAGTTCATTGTGCATTAACAATGTGCCTGATGCTAAGACGGTGGTCTGCATTTTTGTCCCGTTCCTTTTCATTTCCTAGAACTAGTGTTTATGATTCTCGAGCACGGGAGAGATTGCGCCAGATTGAAGAGCAGAAAGCACTGGCTTTACAGCTTCAAAACCAGGTAAACAAAAATTTGGGGATAAGGTTGTAAGTAAATAGCACATCCAAGTTGAAACTAATTTGGAAGATGACCTGGATTTGGGATCAAAGCTATTGTAATTGCAAGATGTTATGGTAGCATAGCATTATAGGATTCGTGTGTGTCCTTAGTCTCTCCATCTGGTCCTACTCAGTGTATGTAGACAAGTAGTAGTTTTCCTTATCCCACTTAATTCTAAAGTTCTTTTTTGCAGAGATTACAGGAACAGGAACACTCAGTACATGATTCAGTAGAACTGCATCTTCGTGTGCCACTTGAAAAGGAGATCCCTGTCACGATCACCCAAGAAACAGAAAAGAAAGGTCATAAGTTAACTGATAGTGAAGATGAATTTCCTGAAATCACAGAGGTAAATTACATACTACAGATTCTTGTGCTAGCAAGTGTGTTTATAAAAAATACTTTGAATGAATTTCAAACATAGAAGTAATAGAACACCTGGCGTTTAAATTGTATTGCATACCCCTGCTTTCATTTGTATTACAATACCAATCTTGGCTTTCTTTTTAAAGGATTATTGGAAATTGAGGAAAGAATTGTGGGTGGCTTTTCACGACTTCAGTGAAAAAAAATTTAATAAATTTGTGCTTCTCATTTTATGTACATTTTTACTTTTAATGTATGTGTACAATAGTTTGACATCAAATAGTAAGCTGAGGCTTACTATTTTTTTTAAGTAGTAAAAAATCTGTATAAAAATTTGGAGACTATAAAAGTCTTTGTACATTTTAAGATAATCTGTTCCTTAATCCATTCTTCTGTTTGAAAAACTATCATATAGCTGGTAAGTATAACACATTTATTGTAGTTGTGCTGGATTCCAAAATTTACATTTAAAAAGCCCCAATTTTTCTAGCAAAATGTGTCTGAAGACACTATCTTTGTCCCCTTCCTACCTTTTGGGAAAGATTCTATTTGTTAGGAAATTGTGCAGACCAAAGATATGAAATATAATTAGGTCTTCTTGTGGACTTAGAAAATTTGATAGCAGAAGGTTAATTCAGACAGGAATAAAAGAAAGAAGGGTCTGAAATGTTGTGCTGCAAATGAGAAGGGAGGACAAGACAGGATGAAAGGAAGTAACCCAGGAGCTTAACTGGAAGGAATAGAAACCAAACCAAAATGTTAGGAGTGAACAGTTGATGACTGATAAATATAGTCTGGCGATTATATGGGGCATGGTGAGAAATTTAGTGTGTCTGTAGCCATGTAGGCTTCATCTCTGGTACCTCTTGGTTCCCTAGGAAATGGAGAAAGAAATAAAGAATGTATTTCGTAATGGTAACCAGGATGAAGTTCTGAGTGAAGCATTCCGCTTGACCATTACACGCAAAGATATTCAAACTCTAAACCATCTGAACTGGCTCAATGATGAGGTAATCTCACACCTGTTTTTATATTCAAATAGTAAGTGAGCATTAAGTGGAAACTAAATCAAGGCATTATCTCACTGTTTCTCGAAGTGTGGTCCTCAGATGACCTACATAGAATAGGCTCTCCTAGGTTTGTCCATTCTCCTGAGTGAGATTGAGACAGTGTGGTGGAGAAATGCATTTTAAACAAGTACGTCAGTTGATTTTTTTTTTTTAATATACCTTTGAGTCTGAGAACTGCTGATTTACCTTGTTATGTATGGAAGAGTTAGACACTGAGGGAGAGGACATTCACTCTCACTCTTTTTAAGGCACCTAGCCTGCAGTTTACATCTTCTGAGCAAATATTTAATAGCTCTGACTATGATGCAGCATGAAGGAGAACTTTGGGATTTCCATCAGGGCTTCCATTTCTATTTCCTTTTTCATCAGTACTTGTTTTAGGTCACCTAGGTTATGAGAGATAAGCTTTCTAAAATAGCCTACATTTATATATGATATTGAAAAAGCTATGTTATTAAATACACTGATATTGAAAAAGCTATATTATTAAATATTTGATGTACTGGGTTGAAAGAAAGCTATGGCCCTCAGCTCCTGCTAATAATTTTAAGTAGATTAATTACACTACAGTCTTTTAACTAATCTGTCCCCATTCTTAAACCTGGAGGAGCCTGTTTTATTTCAGAAGGATATTTTTCACAGCAAAAGAAGAGAATGGGGTTGCATTTTTTTCTCTAAGTGCTTGCTTCCTTTCTTAGGCCCAGTAGAAGCATCCCTGCCTGATATTTTGGGTATACTCAAAACTTTACAGCTGGGGAAGATTTTTAGATATTCAGTATAATAAGCACTAGGTATTCTAGATATCTAAAATCTGGTCTTGTATGCTTAGGATCTTCCAAATAATAATATTTGCTAATATCTATTGAGCATTTACATCATGTTGGGCACTCTTATAAGTGTTTTATGTGTTCTATTCATATAATAGTCACCACAAACCTTGGAGGTATATACTGTAGTTTAACCATTTCTATTTTATAGATGAAGAAACAAAGCATGGAAAGATTAAGAAACTTTCAAGGTTACATGGCCAGTAAGTAGCAGAGCCAGGATTTAGACCCAGACATTGAGTCTTATCTCTTATGTTATACTGCCTCAGAATCCTAAATTGGATCCTGTCTTAGGGTTAGATGTATAGAATTTGAGAGCCATATGCCATGCCCAGCATGTTGATTTTCTTTGGAGGCAGCTAGACTAGCCCCATTCTCTTTGCCACTGATCAGTTTCTAAAATATAGATTTCAGGGGTGCCTGGGTGGCTCAGTTGGTTAAGCAGCTGTCTTCCGCTCAGGTCATGATCTCAGGGTCCTGGGATTGAGCCCCACATCAGGTTCCTTGCTCAGTGGAGAGCCTGCTTCTTCCTCTCCCTCTGCCGCTCCCTCTGTTTGTGTTTGCTTACTCTCTGTCAAATAAATAAATAAACTCTTATAAAATAAAATAATATATAGGTTTCAGAAGTTCATCATTCCCTGAATAATATCTTTGACCAAGAATGGTAAGGAAGGTATGGTTTGATACTGTCTTGCTTTAGGGGAAATCACCCTTGCTTCTTTTGGCTCAGAATAGTGATATTAGAACATTGGATCACATAACAGGAAAAAAAAAAGTTCACTAGATCAAAGTGCAAAATGGAAATCAAGGGCAGCCAAAAGTATCCATCAATTAAATGTTTTTGATTTGAAGACATTAATCTGTGGTTTCTTGCCAGTTTCTGCCTGCCACTGCTAAATGGAAAGGGATCAATTATTCTATAGGGATTGTAGCCCATTCATTGTAAATTATGCAGAGCCTCCTAGAGGGCAGCAATGAGTAGGATAGGAGCTGAGTCCCTGCTGTTTACCGTGGCAGTTACCTTGGTGAGATCCCTTACAGGACGGCATTCATCAGGATATGTTTTCCATTCCCTTGGCCCATCAAAGATTGGGTTTTTAGCAAGCAAAGTTCATGGAAATTACATTATTCAGAAAAGTTGAGGAGAAGGAAAGATTCTTTTTCTACTTTATCTCTACCACACCTACCCATAACTTTTGTAGGAATTGCTTGTCTTCTGAGTTTAGAATGTTAACCTTGAAAGCAGGTACCAATTCACATGTCCATGATGATAACTGTTTTGGAAAGCACCATTTTCAAAGTACTGTACTTCTCAGGCTTTGAAAGTTAGTGTCTTTGGGAAGCTAACATTCTGATGTGAGGAGTTAGTAGATATCCTCAAGTATTCATATTCATTTAAAAATACATAATTCTTTTTCTCAGTTGTGAATTCTGAGTCATCTTTTGCAAGTAATTTGTGCTCTCTTCAATCCTGTTCTTCCCTCAAATAGATATTTTCATTAATAACCATTTCTTTTCTTTCTGTATCTCTTATCAGATAGTTTTATAAGCTGCTTTTAAATCTTTCTCCAGAGTAAGGTGACTGGCATATTATTCTTACCATTTTATAGACAAGGAATATCAGATCCTGGAAGTGAAAGGGATCAGATTTAGTTTATAAGGAAAATAAAATTCGGAAGTCATATATTTGGAATATGTGCAGAAAGCCATTAGGCTACCCTTTCTCTGGTCTCTTTCCTAAAAGAGTAGGCTGCATTGCTTGTTTATAAAATAGGCTTTCAAACATGTTTTCATGAATGGATTTATGTATAGATGAGTAGATTCTGTATAGCTTTAAAGGACTAATGATGATTGATAGGACTGACATTTTTAACTCACTGTAAGAAAATGATACTTCTCAGAAATGGAATGTGGGAATTGGCTGTCTTTGTAAAGAATACAAAAGGAGGCTGGAATGCTGATAACACTAGGGATGTTATAGATGGGGATTTCTCTACTAGGTCTGGTGATTAGTTATTAATAGAAATACCTAATTAAAGGAAGGAGGCCAGGGTTAAAGAGAGGAGGAATTAGTTGTAAAAGTAGATTGAAAATCACAATCAAGAAACAAAAAGGAAATATTTTTAAATGGATGTCAGTACTAAAAATTGTTTATTGATTCCTGACAATTGCATTAGATAACTTCTGTGATCCAGTGGTATGATGATTCTGCTTTATGGCCTGACTATTCTATTCGTAGAGGGCCTAAGTGTTGTTTTATAAGGCACCAGATAAATTTAAAAAATATATGGAAATTACTTAGGCATACAAGGAAATGAATCTGACTTCTGTTTCTGGTCATGATAGAATAAAATGGATCAGATTTACCCTTTCAACTTAACTAGAAAACTAAAGAAAACATGAAACAACAATTTTCAGACAGTGGATAACAGAAATCCCTGACAGAAGGAAAATGAAAGGGATGAGCTGATGATTTCCCCACCTTATTAGGTGTGATACGTTGAGGGTAGAGAGCTGGTAGAACATGGCAGTGACTGACAGTCTTGCTCAGTGGAGGAGACATGGTCCAGAGTTCAGGGAGGTGAAAGTGGCTAAGATTTGTGAGGTAAAACACTGAAGGGAAGGTTGCTGCACAAAGAGAAAGTTCCAGAGATGTGTAGAGGCTCCCTCAAATCTTTGAGCACCAATCTGTACATAGATAGGAAGAAACTACCAGAGACTGGAGAAAGAACCACCAGAAAGAAGGAATCAGAACAAAGCTCAGAGCTAGCACTGGTGCTTACAATAGTTCCTATTCCAACCAGTTAGAGTAGAAAAATCATGTGGTATTGAATAGAGTCCTCAAAAGGATATTACCTCAGGAGTGGGGCCAAACTGGCCTTAGAATAAAGGCCACTCTGGACCTGTGATAGCAAAGTTAAATACAAATCTTGAAAGCTTGAAACTGACTCAAGTGATTTAACTATATCACAGAACAAAAGCCCAATGATATTTAAAGGAATACAAACATATTCTAATAACAAAACCCAATAACATGAAATCACAGTGTCCAGCATCTATTCAAATGTTACGAGGCATGCAAGGTGAAAGGAAAATGCAACTTACTACAAGGGAAAAAACAAATACCCAGAAATGACAAAAATGACAGAACTAGCATACATTGGCAGGCTATTAAAACAGATAAATACATCCCATATGTTCAGGAATTTAGAGGAAAATTGACATTATGATGAGAAAAATGGAAGATGTCCAAATTGAACTTCTAAGGGATGAAAAACACAGTTTCTGAAATGAAAAATACATGAGGTAGGATTAAGAGTATATTGGGCACTACAGAAGAAGAAACTAGTGAACTAGAAGATACAGCAATAGGAACCATCCAAATGAAACAGAAAAAAGACTGAAGAAAGATGAGTATATGTGAGCTGTGGGACAATAGCAAGCCTTCTGAGCATGTAATTAGAGTCTCAGAAGGAAAAGTGAAGTATAAGTGGTATCAGAAAAAAAAGTTTGAAGAAATAATGGTAGATTTTCCAAATTTGGAAACTTAGACTGACAGATCCAAGAAATTCAGCATACTCCACACTAAAAAGTATAATAATCAAGTTGCTGAAAATCAGTGATAAAAAGAAAAATAATAAAAGCAACCAGAGGAAAAGAGACACATTATGTCCTAGAGGAATACAAGACAGAAATACATGTAGGCCAGAAGACAGTGTAGCTACATTTTTAAGGTACTGAAGGAAGAAAAAAACAAAACAAAACCTTGTCAACTTATAATCTATATGCAGCAAATACATCTTTCAAAAAAATACTTTTTTTCAGACAAACAGATGCTGAGAGAATGCACCACCAGCAGACCTGTATTATAAGAAATATTAAAGGATATTCTTCAGGCAGAAGGAAACAATGAGGTGGAAATTTCAGTCTACACAATGAAGAGCAGTGGAAATGCTCTCATTTTTTAATATCACTGTAAGACAATTGACTAGTTAAAGCAGAAATGTATTGTGGGGTTTATAATGTAAAATATGACAATCATAACAGAAGAGGGGGAAAGTGGAAGAACATAGTACTCTAACACAGTACGTGAAGTGGTATAATGTTATGTGA